GTGGCGCTTCTCGCTTACTGCGAGCGTTCATCCAGCCACTCCTCACAGATTCCTTTCATCCGTCTCAATCCTGTTTATTTCCTTCAAAATCCCCAAATTCCCATGAAAATACTTGCATATAGCGGCGGAGAGTGCCTTAAATTGGGTCCTGACCGTCTCGAACGATTCTGGTCTCTAGGTCACCAGTCCCGAAGACCGGCCTGTCAGGAAGCGCCGGGAATGTTTTCAAAGTTGGAATGGGAATTTTGTTGCGTTCCAGAGAGCCTAGGGGGAGAAAGTTTGTATACGGACCGCCCACTCTATATTCCGGGAAGAAGTTGATCTTGGAATATGTTCTTGAGATTTATAGACGAGGCCCAGATCTTGCTTTTTATCTCCGGCTTTCCAGCGATAAATGGAAGCAGCTGAGTGGGGGGCAACCAGTATCTCTCGTACCGTGAGCCTGGTTCACTGTCTCGTGGTTCCTGGTTCAACCTGTCTCGTGGTTCCTGGTTCAACCTGTCTCGTGGTTCCTGGTTCAACCTGTCTCGTGGTTCCTGGTTCAACCTGTCTCGTGGTTCCTGGTTCAACCTGTCTCGTGGTTCCTGGTTCAACCTGTCTCGTGGTTCCTATCTCAACCTGTCTCATGGTTCCTGGTCTACTGTCTCATGGATCCTGGTCTACTGTCTCGTGGATCCTGGTCCAATCTGCCTCTTAGAGGACGACCTCGCGTCTGTAGCCATCTGTAGTGCCAGCAAGGCACTATATAATCACAGCATGGCCTTCTGTAGTGCCACACTGCGGTCTCTGCCGCCAGTAAGAGAGTCTGTAGCTGGCCATAAAGCCGTCTATGTCGCCAACTGTGACTAACCCTGCACAGCGTGTTGTGTGTGGACACCAGGAGGAAGCCTTTTCCCTGCCCCCTCAACCCATCCTCCCTTCTCTCACTTATCCCCGACTCTAGCTTTTATTTTCCTGCGTGACTGTGCTTAACGTCAGTCCTGATATTTACGGTTGGGGGCCCAGTGGAGGAGCGGCGTGTTCGCTGCCTGCCTGGCCGCCCCCCACAGGAACAGCCAGGGTGGGCAGAGGTGAGGGGGGAAGGGGGATAGGGAGTAAATAGGGAACAGGGTGTGGGGGATAGCGGGAGCTAGGTGGAAGGTTGGCTCGGAAGGAGCAGGGAAAAGGCAAGAGGGTACTGATAGAAGGATAGTGGAGCCAGTCGAAGATAAGAAAAAGGGTATATAGGCCGTAGGAATAAGGGAAACTTAAGGGTTATTAAAACTTACCTAGTGGCTACCTCGCATTAATCGCAGAGGACGTAGGAACACCTTGTTTATCAACGTGAACCCGTGTAACATGTAACAGCGTGAGAGAATATAAACGCTCTTTAGAATTGTTGTTTTGTGAATTAGTTTGAAGGAGAAGAAACCGTCTCCAACTCCCAGGAGACAACTTCTGGGGACTTGAGGGACGTGAAGGCACCCCCTCTACATGCTGGTTGAGTCAGTATGGTGTTGCTCCTTGCCCACCCTCCAGCACATTGTCTCAAGAACCCACTGTCTCAAGAACCCACTGTCTCAAGATCCCACTGTCTCAAGATCCCACTGTCTCAAGAATTCCTTGTCTTAAAAAAACTTTCTCAAGAAACCACTGTCTCCTTTTTCTTGCTTTTCTCGTTATTAATCTGTTCTTATCTTCTTTTTTTGTACGTTGTTGACCTGTCCTTTTATCCTATAGGGATTTCCTGGAGCATATTTTATTTTCCTATGATCTTCCTCGTTACTCAAGTAGACATTCTACCGGTTCTTCCAAGCATTTGTTGTGCCTTTCCCACTATGTTAAGCTTCCTTATATTCTACATTAGTTCTGCTGTGCCTTGCTTGCTTGTGTCCGCCTCTGCTGCTTTCTGCTGTTCCACGCTTGGTGTCTTCTACTGCTGTGCCTCCCTGTCTCTCCTACTGCGACTGCTGTGCCCCCTTCTGCTGCTATGTCTCCGTTGCTGCCTATGAGGTGTGCGTTACCAAGGCAACTTTGCGTTGCTCTACGAGCTTCGCGTTACCTCTGTTCGTTTGCTTTGTGAACGTTCCTATATTCTCATTCTTGGATCTTCCCCGTAATCTGAGGTACCTCGGTGACTGTACCTTTTCTTTCTATAATTTATCCTTAGTGCCTTTTTTCCTTCTCAAGGCCTACTTTCCTCCTCATTGCTTACTTCCTAAATCGTTACTTTCCTCCTCTGTGCCTACTTTACTCCTCAGTACCTACTTTTGTCCTCAGTACCTACTTTCCTCCTCAGTACCTACTTTCCTCCTCTGTGCTTACCATTTTGATTTTACTCAGTGCATTCTATTCTCTCCAGTGTTCACCTCAGTTGTCACTCTTCCTTCGCGCTGTGCTTACTATCCTTCTCAGGGGCGGCCTCCTCTTCCACCCCCTTCCTTATCCTCCGCCGGGCCGCTCAGAACGGCTCCTGAGTGTAGCGGGAAATGACTCAAACCATGTGTTGCTGCTCATCTGCATAATCCAATCAGGCGCCGCAGTGGAGGGCCTAAGACGCGGTGGTGGCGGCGTGGGGGAGCTGGTGCCGCGGGTGTGGCCAAGAATTATGGGGGGGGGCTACGTGGGTGCTGCTGCTGCTGCTGCTGCTCTAGTGCTGCTGCTGCTGCTGCTGCTCTAGTGCTGCTGCTGCTGCTGCTGCTCTAGTGCTGCTGCTGCTGCTGCTGCTACTGCTGCTGCTGCTGCTGCTAGTACTGCCGCTGCTGCTGCTGCTCCTAGTGCTGCCACTGCTAGTGCTGCCGCTGATGATGCTGCTGCTGCTGCTAGTGGCTCCTGTAGCCACTGCTGCTGCTAGTGCTGCTGTAGCGGCAGTGTTAAATGAGTGACTTGCAAGCGGCCGGCAGGTCGGGGTAGATTATCCCGCGTGTGGACTCCACAGGTATCGAGCTTGGCTTGGAACGTAATACTAATAGTACATCTTTCTTAGCTGTGTGCACCTGGTACGCGAGATGTTGTGTACACGGACGGTAGTGTAGGAGAGACTGTATTCAAGGATGCTGGTGTGGAAGATCATGTATACATGTTTGTTGATGCAGGAGATGATGTTTAGAAGGATGCTCATGTACGAAATGAGGTTTAAATCGATTCTGAAATAATCAAATGTATCTTTCTCTCTTTGTAAAGTAGCTTTAAAGGTGCAAAATCAAAGTAGCAGTATTCTAAGGTGTATTCTATAATTTTTTCTTCCATATATACATTTCCCTAAACATGTTTCTCTTTTATCCTTTGGCCATAGTAGCGAGAACACGTAATGTTTGACGAAGTAAACACTGTCACAGCTCGACCCCCAGCCCCTCCTCCCCCAGGTCGTACACAACACGACCCCCGGCCCCCTCCTCCCCCAGGTCGTACACAACACGACCCCCGGTCCCTCCTCCCCCAGGTCGTACACAACACGACCCCCTGCCCCTCCTCCCCCAGGTCGTACACAACACAACCCCCGGCCCCTCCTCCCCCAGGTCGTACACAACACGACCCCCAGTCCCTCCTCCCCCAGGTCGTACACAACACGACCCCTGGCCCCTCCTCCCCCAGGTCGTACACAACACGACCCCCTGCCCCTCCTCCCCCAGGTCGTACACAACACGACCCCCTGCCCCTCCTCCCCCAGGTCGTACACAACACGACCCCCGGCCCCTCCTCCCCCAGGTCGTACACAACACGACCCCCGGCCCCTCCTCCCCCAGGTCGTACTCAACACGACCCCCTGCCCCTCCTCCCCCAGGTCGTACACAACACGACCCTTGGCCCCTCCTCCCCCAGGTCGTACACAACACGACCCCCTGCCCCTCCTCCCCCAGGTCGTACACAACACGACCCCCGGCCCCTCCTCCCCCAGGTCGTACTCAACACGACCCCCTGCCCCTCCTCCCCCAGGTCGTACACAACACGACCCTTGGCCCCTCCTCCCCCAGGTCGTACACAACACGACCCCCTGCCCCTCCTCCCCCAGGTCGTACACAACACGACCCCCGGCCCCCTCCTCCCCCAGGTCGTACACAACACGACCCCCGGCCCCTCCTCCCCCAGGTCGTACTCAACACGACCCCCTGCCCCTCCTCCCCCAGGTCGTACACAACACGACCCTTGGCCCCTCCTCCCCCAGGTCGTACACAACACGACCCCCTGCCCCTCCTCTCCCAGGTCGTACACAACACGACCCCCTGCCCCTCCTCTCCCAGGTCGTACACAACACGACCCCCTGCCCCTCCTCCCCCAGGTCGTACACAACACGACCCCCTGCCCCTCCTCCCCATGTCGTACACAACACGATCCCCTGCCCCTCCTCCCCCAGGTCGTACACAACACGACCCCCTGCCCCTCCTCCCCCAGGTCGTACACAACACGACCCCCTGCCCCTCCTCTCCCAGGTCGTACACAACACGACCCCCTGCCCCTCCTCTCCCAGGTCGTACACAACACGACCCCCTGCCCCTCCTCCCCCAGGTCGTACACAACACGACCCCCTGCCCCTCCTCTCCCAGGTCGTACACAACACGACCCCCCTGCCCCTCCTCCCCCCCCCCCTGGCCCCTTCCATCCACCCACATGCCAACTTCAAACTCATATATTCTTTGTACATATTTACATAATGACATGTTATACATACGTTACAGAGGATACATACTGACTCTTAATACATATTAACACACTTGACACATGTGGTACATAATGATATTTGATATATACTGTCACGTAATTCATACTGACACAGGATTCATACTAACACACGTGACACATACTGTCACGTGATTCATATTGACACGTGATACGCACTAGCTCATAATACATAGTGCCATGTGATATATTGATATATGATTTACATATATTGACACACGGGAGACATGAAGACACACACGTCCTGGGGTCGAACCCGAGGACTGTGGAGGAAGCAGGGAATCCGGATTGCGACTAACCCAAGTTAATGATGGCGTTCTCATGATCCACACACACACACAACCTCCATTCTTGCAGGTACTATGAGACGGGTTCCATCAGACCAGGTGTGATCGGCGGCTCTAAGCCCAAAGTGGCCACACCTACAGTGGTAGATGCCATCGCCAACTACAAGAAGCAGAACCCCACTATGTTTGCCTGGGAGATCCGGGAGCGGCTTCTGTCTGATGGCGTGTGCGACCAGGAGGGAGTGCCGTCCGTATCCAGCATAAACAGGTGGGTGAAGAGCAGCAATAACTAACCCAAAACTCGTCGTTCTCTTCTAGATATTACGAGACTGGGAGCTACAAAGCCGGTGTCATTGGCGGTTCCAAACCCAAAGTAGCGACTCCCGTGGTGGTGGATGCCATTGCCAGGTATAAACGGGAGAACCCCACCATGTTCGCCTGGGAGATCAGAGACAGGCTGCTTGCGGAGAGTGTTTGTACCCAGGAGAACGTACCCTCCGTGTCCTCCATTAACAGGTAACGTCGGCAGTAGCCTGGAGACCTACACCTGGCCTGCCAAAGCCTGCCTGCCTGCCTGTCGTGGCCTATCTGGCCTGCCTTGCACGCAGATCATCAGACTTGCTTTGTGTCTACCTGCCCAGCCTGCACCTCCCCTACACGCTACCTCAAGCAGGCAGCGTCCTTATTTAATTTTTTTTGGCACTTTTTCGTGTTTGTGTGTAGAGCGTCTGGCATCACTGCCTGCACAGACCAGTAGATTTGTTACATGCACTATTTCCATGTACACATGTACACTCCCATGTACACATGTACACTCCCATGTACAAATGTACACTTCCATGCACTTGCGTTTGTTTGGTTGCACGTAGACTTGTATACCGTAGTCGAAGGTAGGTGCTAGACACGTCGAAATGTAGTTGTATTTAGTAATGCCAAGAATGGTGCTTAAGAGGTGACGTCAGTCATGCTTAGTGCTGATGTCACTGATGCTCATGACGTCAATGATGCTTAGTGCTGACGTCACTGATAGTGATGACATCAGTTATGCTTAGTGATGAAATCACTGTAGCTTAATGCGGACATCACTGATGCTGAAGTCACTGATGTCAGCTCTAGCATCACCGATGCAATGTCATAACATCATTGATGTTTTAAACCAATTGTGTTATGCTATTCTTTCTGCGTTATTCCTCAAAATACTGTATTTTTGTGTATAATTTTTGTGTAAAAATCCAAATTACTTTCATTAAAAATAAGTTAAGGACAAATACATTTCTCACAATGTGTGACTTGAGAAAAAATGAAGTCGAAACAACGGATCATATATGAACCAGTTTCACATTAACAATAAAAACTGATGTAATGTAATTGTTAACATAGTTAACTCGAACGTAATTGACTTTCACATCGACCTTTGTCATTTTTAACATTAGGTAATATTACATGTAACTTTTCCGTACTGTGATGTTTACCTAATAGAAATTTATATGTTTACACAAGTAAATATGTGTAAACTGATGTTTACATGTTTGTTGTAAACTGTGAGAAATGAACCTGTAGAGAAATTCAGATCAATGTTGCCTAACTGCTGGGGTAGAAATCACATGGATATTATAACTGATGATAGTTATAACGATATGATGATAGTTAACTCAATAATGTATAGGTGAGAGGCTGCTTTCAAACTTGTCAAAATTTTATAACTTCTTAATAGACTATACAAATTAAAAATGGAACGAACAACATAATAATTTTGCTGCTGACTCCAGGAAACGAAGCAAACTAATAGAAAATTCTGAGTCTTTGTTAAGTCTAGTCATCAGTAGCTGATGCCCAAAAGCGTTGAAGTAGTTTCATTATCTTTAAAATAACAGCCCCCCGCTCCCCTCACCTCAAAAAAAAAAGTTTCTACCGCCAATTCCATTGAAAGATGCCAGTAGTTAGTAGGTCGAATGGAACCACTGAATCATTTGGAATATATTTCGAGGCTGTATTATGACGGCCATAACGTAACTTCCCTACAACAATCCTCATCCCCCAAAACAAGAATAACAATCATTTTTTTTCAGGACATTTTGTTTTTCATATTCTCCACGTCTAACAATGAAGCAAAATTTTTAATGGATCGTACTGGGGCCTCTTGTGAACCCATTATCTCAGAGTCGCTGCGGGATTCGTGATTTTTACGAGAGTTCCTTGTTTTTATCCAGCTCACGGGCTCAGTCCTAGGAATAAAAAAAGAATAACACGTTCACCATTGTGCTTCGGGGACGCGGAGCAGTCCTTGGTGTTTGCTGATGAGTTTAACTATGGATTGCCACACAGTAATGCGGGGTTTATGTTTAATACGGGGGCGACCCTCTCGTTATCCTCTTCCTCTTCACTCATTTGCATTGCAGATTGGCGGAGGCGACTCTCCAACTCTTCTAGGGCGCGCCCTGCCTAACTTGCCACCCATTTATTCTACGCATAAATCTGCCTCGAGCAAATATATTAAAAAAAAAGTTATTTCGATGCTCATTGTCCGTCGAATTTTGAGCAAGAAGGCACGTTAGATTCTGGTGGTTAAGACAAATAGGAAATAAGATCATATTACAGTGGTGTTTCAACGGCCTGTTGTGTCCTACGTACCAGTCATCGCCCACCAGAGCCAGCCTCATCAGAGCCTTGTTGGCGTCGCTAATGACCTCATTCAGTTTTCGTCGGCGTCTAAAAACTGGCGTGGTGCTCCAGACCTCGAGACCATTCACATCCAAAAGACCTTCCACCATGTGAGAAGTTGATGACCCCTGCTTAGGTCCTCATTGGCCGAGATGGCTCCTAAAGCTGGTGGAGGGCAGGGAGCGGCCGTGGAAGAGGAGGAGGAGGCGGCGCAGATTAAGGAGAAGCCGGGAGAGAGAAGGTGAGAAAGGAGGAGAGAGAGAGAGAGAGAGAGCTTGTGCGCAATCACTACGGCGGAGCTCACAGCTAACGCTCTTTCCCCCCATCTCTTCCCCTCACTTGTTTATCTTGACTGTATTCCCCTTACGTTTTTACTCTGCGGGAAAGCGGCTGGATTGTCTGTCAGAGAATGCGTGTGCACAACCCAGGCGTCTGAGGGGAAACATAACTATTACGAATAAAGATGAGATTAAACCAGCAACAACAACAACAAATACAACAACTCAATAATAACAATAACAGCAACAACAACATCATCAACAACAGCAACAACGCAATCGAGGAAGGGAAAGGAAATCTCCGTTACTCGACCTGAGCCGCGATGCGACCCGTATTTATGAGCTCTTTATCTTCCTAAAATCGATGATCAGCTGTTTGATGAGGATTTCATGTCCTTCTCTCGTCTAGTTGTATAATGCGATTTGATGATTTGTTGTTGTTTTAAAGGGCAAGTATTTATCGACCAATTCAATTTCTTTATTATGCACCCCATACCCATCCCGTGGGCGGTGGTGTAAAGGATTACAGAGGCACATAATCGGTTCAGGAAATGAACCCTCTAGTTCGTTTAGCTAAGCAAATAACAAAATTTTGACGCTAGTTACATAATTATTAATGTTATAGCATCGAGCAGTCAAGAAAATTGTCAATTAATTTCGAATCTGGAACATTTCTTGTAGTCAGACCTCCAAATGTTTATACTGTAGTTTAAAATAATATTTATATTTGCTCTTCATATGACTTTATATCAAGTGATATAAAGTGATATTTACTCTTTATATCACTTTATATGAGTGATAAAGGAAACTATCACAAATATTAGAGATTCAACAGAACAAAATGAATTTCGTCTCAGGGGTCTGCAGAAAAGGGAAAAGAAATAAGAATTCTTAAGACGGGTGGTACCGGAAATCCTTTTCAACACAACGTCGAGCATGAAAGTATCGCAAACTTTTCAAATCCTTTTTTTTTTGGTGTATACTTTGAGTGGCGTAATTCAGTTTTAATCGCACACTATCTTGAGAAATTAAGAGCTTTTATGAGTGCTAGGTCAAGAAAATTCTTTTCCCGGAGAAAATAAGCCAAGATTTTAAAAGACTCTCGATGAGGAGAATCAGCCAAGCAACAAATATGGTATCCACCATTTGGATCTTCTTGGCGGGAAAACTTGCGACGTTGACAGATGAAGATCAAGCTGCGCTCCAGACTAAATTAGCTTTTCCTTATTTGAGGGGTGGGATTAATCCCCTCCAGTTGGGATTGCCTTCATTTGCTCGTTCCCGGAGAACCTCTCAAGTCGAGGCAGAGGAAATCCTGTCGGGGGGATTTTGGGAAATATGGAGACGATGTCACGTGGAGTTTTTTAAAACTACGAAATGAACAGAAATAAATATTAATGATGATAGAAACGTATTTCCAACTTCGTTTTTAGCAGTGTTTTCTTATTATTTATTTTCTACATTTCTGTCTGCCTGCCTGTCTATAGACAGTTTGTCTCTGTCTGTCTGCCTCTGTCCTTCTCCCTTTCTCTACCCTTGAGGCCAGGAGGAAATCTCTGGGTTAACAAGATAACTATAAGAGTCAAGTGGGGTGGGATGAGTGACCCTGGTGAGCGTATTATCGGTCTGGGGGACAGAGCCAGCCGCCCCTCCTGCCCCTCGCCTCACTCATGTGTCCCACCGGCGACACAAGGACCCATGTTTACAAGCGATTGAACACCAATACGCCTTCATAAACAACCACCCGTCAGCCAACCACCCGGTCCGGGGCTGTCAGATGGCTGAGGTAATGGTTGAGTGCTCATAGGGTGTCAGGTCTTCATCACCCCGCTGCTTCACTCTCACAAGAGTGAGTGTGTGTACTCACTCTCACTCTCTTGGCTCACCTGCCTGTGAAGGATCTTGTGTCACCCGTATGACCTTGTATGGAGAGAGAGAGAAGCCCAAAGATTCACTCGCAATTCAGCGGAAAGTTCATTTAAAGTTATTGTATGAAGTCAAACGAATATTTTAGTACCTTACCTTGAGGTGCTTCCGGGGCTTAGCGTCCCCGCGGCCCGGTCGTCGACCAGGCCTAGTAACAGGAAGCCGTGAAATTCCGACGTCAGTTAGAAGCAAATATGGAGCTTTAGACGTGTGAGTCTATTCACGGTGTGATCCATTCTTCTCGTGCTTTAAACAGCTCCATTACGCCCATACGGTGGACAGAGCGCGATGCAGCCCATCTACCAGTGAAATGATGATTAAATTGGAAGTCACCCCTTCCATTTTCTTCTTTTACAAAGTCAAAATAAATGGGGCAGAAATAATGAGAGGACTCACCAACTGT